GTCAGGGCAGGGGTGCCAGGTGGTCTGTGGTGTCTCAGCACCACCTCCCTTCCCTCCTGCGGGTGCTCCTGTAGCTCAGGCTGGACGCCTGCAAACCACTTTGCCACCTCCATTTGCCAGCAGGCTTCCGGGCAGCCTCTGCCAATGAGACCGGAAAAGTGGGCCGCCGGGATCCCCGGCAGCAATTCCAACCTTTCCTGACTCTGCAAACCCTTCCAGAGGCCTCCCTCACACCCCTGGCCCTCAGTAGTTTTATAGTTTTGTGAGCAGAATCTCTTTATTAAGAGATGTATTACCTACCTGAAACATTGAGAGGAAAATGTATTCTTGATTGAATAATCACTTGACAAGGAAGTTTCTACAGTTTTCCCTGAGGGCACAGTTTGATGGTGGGGAGGGGCCAGGGTGCACACCTGGGTGGCATCAGTGTGGAAGCCAGCAGGACGGCTTCCTCCCCAAACTTGCAACCTTGGCTGGGCCTTACCTCTGGGGTGGGAGTGGTCACCTCCGCTGGTTCCCCCACCCCTGTCCTGCCCACCCGAATTGCTGCCTTTACTGCACCAGTAACGACCAAGTGCTGGCCACCGTGGACAGTGTTCCGAGCACCTTGGGGGTATGAACTCATTAACTCACTCCTCGCAGCACCCCAGTTTGGACAGTGCTGTTGTCCCCCTATTTTACACACGAGTAAGCTGAGACCCAGGCTATCAACTCATTTGCCAGTAACTCACTCACGTGGCTAGAAAGCGGCAAGTCTGAGACTCAGACCCAGGCTGGCTCTAGGGGCCGTGCTCATATTCGCTCTCCCTGTCCTCTCTTCCAGGCATCTGCACCGGCAGCTTGGGCTGCAGATGAGACCCCAGGCCTTAGAGGCGGGAAAATGAAGGGTGGTGATGAGTTGATGCTCATTACCTGCCTGAGAATCCGCCAATGTCTTTTCTCCAGCTTCTACTCATCATAATCACTTCCACTTCCCCACGAGCCTGGCAGACCTCAGGCACGTGGCCCCCGTCCAGCAGGTGTGGGGAAGAGACTTCTCTTTCCTCTCTTTGTGGTGGATGGAGGACTGGGCATGGGGTCTGTGGGAAAGACTGCGGCTCAAACCTCAGCACTGCTGAATTGCCCACGGGGCCCGGGGAAGTCCTGTCCCTCTGTGGGCCTCGGTTCCCAGCTGGAAACCAAGACAAGCCAGAGGACCGCCAGGGGCTCCTCTCGCACTTACGTTCTAGAATCCTGCTCTGAAGACATTTGAAAACCAAGATCTTTGATCGGGTCAGAGGAGTAAACCATACACTTTACCAAACTGCCTGGGCTGGGTGTACTAGGCCACTGGCCGAGGGACAGAGAATGAGCGTGCCGAAGCCCAGTGCGCCCGGGGGCACTCCCCGGCCATGGGGTGGGTTTGCCTCCAGAACAGATAAGCTGCAAAGTGGTCCATCAGGCTGCAGAGGCTCATCTTGCCAACTGAGCCAGGGCTGCCCCTTCTCTCAGCAGCCTCTCATAGGAGGCCAGGCTGGTTGTCCCCCTTTTGATAAGCTGACAGGAATCACTGATGTTCTGCTGGACACTTGGGCCACAGGGTGAATCAGACACAGGCGCTGGCCTCTCGGAGCTCCCAGGCCATCAACTTCAATCAGCCTTCCTACCCTCCTTCGACGCCCAGCTGGGACACTCCCCCGTGCAGGAGCTCCCCTGGCTTCCTCAACCCTGACTCCCAAAGTCCCCCTCCTGCGGTGCACACCTGAGCCACCCCCAAGGACTTTCCAGGGCACCACAGCCCACAACTCCTGGACTCTGAGGAGATCCAGCCAGACCCCTGGCAGTCCTGCTCCATGCGGGGGCTCAGCAGGTGCAACGGAATTGTTGCTTGGCTACAAGACCTTGTTTGTGACGCAGCTCACATCTGTCCTGGCCAGAAGGAACGGCACCAACCTGACCCAGTACCTAGGCACTGGGCACTCAGCTAAGGTTATTCTGTGCTGGGCTCAGATGCTCCTGAGTGAAATCATTGCAATGTCCAAATATTTCAAGTGTCCTGCTGAGAGGCAGGGTCACCCCAGGACAGCGGGGAACACAGGCTTTGAATCTCAGGCTCAGCGGGCCTCAGTTTCATCGTTTCTAAAATGGGCTAATAATGCCTACCAGCAGAGTCACTGTGCAGAGCAGCTTAAACAGGCTCACATGCACTGGTTTCCAGAGATGTGCTCTGCTCCTTCCCGGCCCCTCCGAGGCTGGCATTCAGCACCGACACAATACACTGCGTCTGTCCCCGGAGGAAGCCTTCTTCCTCTGAGGGGCACCAAAGTTCACTCTGGGCCCCCTTCCTCCCACCCCATACCCTGCAGGCTGGGCAGCACCTGCTGGGGCAAGACAGGGCCCTGAGGTGACAAGACACACCCTGCTGAGCCCTAAATTGAGCATGTCCGGAGCAGCAGCCCCAAAGGGCAGCCACCTGGGAAGGGGAGGGAAGGATCTGTTCTAACCAGTCAGTGCCCGGGAAGACAGCCCCTGCCTCAGGTGACTGGCCTGGCCCAGGCCTATGGAGACACCCACTGGTGAGCACCTCCCACAGGTCCGTCTGCCCTGTCTGCCCTGTGGTAGAGGCTGCCGTTGCTGGGCTGCTGGCAGGGCAGAGCAGGGCCTGGAGCTCAGCTTGAATATGCCCTTCACAGGGTGGGCGGTGCCATGGAAATAAATTCTGGAGTCAGACAGGCTAGGGTTCGAATCCCAGGTCCACTCCTTACTGGCCGTGAGACTGGTCAGTTCACTCATCCTCCCTGACCCTCAGCTGTCCCTCCCACCTTGAGACCAGGCCTACCCACCTCCGAGCCTGGTTGTTGGGGTCAGTATCACTGACCTCAGGTGTCAAGAACCTAACAGGCCTGGCATGGACAAGAGGGGGACCCGCCCCCACAAAAAACGGAACTTAATTATAGAAAACTATATACTTATTCATACATGTTTAAACTTTAGTCACCTTCAAAGTACTCTCCATTTGATGCAACTTACGTATTGAGATTTTTTCCCCCACTGCTCAGAAGTTTTTGAACTTGATTTTGATGCCTTTAGTCTTTCTGTTATTTTTTGTTTCACCTGTTCCACATCAGCAAAAAGTTTCCCTTAGAGGCCTTTTTTCATCCAAGGAAACAAAAGAAAAAGCCTCTCAGAGCAAGATCAGGTGAATAGAGAGGGGGGGCAATGGAAGTCAGGACTTTTTTTTGGTCAAAAACTGATCACCCGGCGTGGTGTGGGCAGATGCACTCATAAACCACCCACCATGAAATGGGCGAACGTGTTGAGTCTTCAAAAAAAACTGAAGCCAAACACAGCCTCTCATGCCGGCTGGTGCACTGACACAGATGGGATCCTAGCACACTCACCTAGCGGGGGCAGCCTGGACTACAAGGGGTCCGCCCTCCAGAAGAGAATTCCGTTTGGGGGGGTGTCCCCCCTCATAGTAAGCACCAGAAAAAAGCCTAGTTCCTAATAAACAGCCCACCTGTTGTGACTCCCTACAGAGCGGGTGGTCAAAGGAGGAAGGCAGACCAGACCCCGTGAGTGCGTGGGATTCACCCGGATTCTCCATCGGAGTTTGTCAGAAGTCCTCGGGGAGATTTAATTGGGACGTTATCTCCTCCCGGGAGAGAAGACCCCAACATCCACCAGCCAAGCTGACAGTTGCATCTGATCTGAAAGGCAACTTTGTTCTTTCTGGCTTTTCTGTTATGCATGAAAGAGCAGACAGCGGGGCCTCAGGATTCATAAGTTGAGACATCCAGAGACTAAAGACATTGGCCAAATTTAAACTGAAAGATGAACTTGCTGGGTGTCTTTTCGGATTATGGGGGAAGAGGAGAGGAGAGAATTTCTTGGTCATCAGAATCCACTCAAAATTCATAGCGAGTCTGCCCGATGGCGGACATCACAGGGCTCTGTGACAAACGGAGGGAGGGCCTGAGGAGACCCCCACTGGAGCCCGAAGAGAGCGGACTTTCTGCGTGGGCGCCGCGCGGCTCACCAGGAGGTCACGGGCACCGGGACCGCACACGTGTCTCCTAGCAGACCAAGACACGGTGGTCGCACATTTCCGAGTCTGGGCCGTGGCTCTGCCAAGTGCTGGAAGGGTGAGTGCCTTCCTCCTCGAGCCTCGGTGCCCGCAGCCACAGAAGGGGCTCACGCGGTCGGGGCTCAGCAGGACTACAATGACAACGTCGTGAGTTCAGCAAGCCCGTGGCACAGAGAGCTCGGTTAACAGGAACTGTCATCGATTTTACTTTTACTTCCTCAAATGTATTTGGTCTAAGTTGCCTTCTGCTTCAAGACAACATTTAGATGAGCCATCCGGGTACTCCACCAATGATAATGGTCACCTCTGAGTCTCACAAAAACCAGGGAGGTAGGAAGGGTGGCACTTATTACACCCTTTTCCCAGATGGGGACACTGAGGCTCCAGGGAAGAAGCGACTGATCCAGTGTCAAGCCCCTATGTGGCAGGGCCGGAGCTGGACCTTGGGTCCCCGAAGTCACTAAAACACACTTTCCACTATACCCCATCCCAGTCCCATCACACCCAGACTCACACATCCTGAGCCCACTGGACCATCTGGACAGTTACCCCCAGCACTGAACTCCAGGCCAGGGTTATGCTTGGCAACTTGTCAAATAAATTTTGGGACCCATTTGAGAATTTGACAGAAATGAATACTCTCCCCAAGAAGAATGTACATTCAGACACACGATTGTATGCTCCTTCTGGGGGTTCAGACTCTGGTCAGGAGGCCCAGACTTGTTTTCAGAGACCTCTTCAGTCTGACCCTGCTGCGCTGTCCAGAGAGGAACTTACTATACACCCCACCTGCCGGGTGGAAAGGGGGTCCGGCTGGGCTCCAGTTAAGGGACCAAAGACCACATCTCCCACTTCTGGGCCTGTGGTCACTGCTGCCCCAACCGCCGAAGGGCAGGCACTGCTGCACACCCGCTTCCACACGGCCACCAGGCCATCCATCCAAACACTTAGTGTTTCAGAAAGAGGACGTTTATTACTTGTTCTTTTCCTCGCTCGAAATTCCTTTACAACACACAAAAGCACAACTTATCTGTAGACCTACAGGGAACACATGACCGCTGGTGGCCAGAGACCAGAGCGAAGGCCAGTCCCGCTCACACAACATGGCCTGGCCCTTTCTGGAGCTCCTGGGCCCTGGTGTCAAGGACAGTGTGTCAGGACTGACCCTTACTGCCTGGTGACAAACATGGGGGCCGACACCAAGGTCTGGGAAGGGCAGCGGGGGTGCAGGAGCTGGGCAAGGAAAGGAAGTTATGCCTATACTGTGGTCCAGACCCCACAAATCCCACCCCGCTCTGCACCCAGGCACTTCTGTCTTTGTGTTTCGGTTCAAGTGCTTAAACAAGTCGAGTCTAAGGAGCGGTGCGTGTTATCCCTGGGATGGTGAGACCTGCTCCAGCTACAAGCACTAATGTACTCAAGGCCAGCAAAGCCAGGCCTGGAGGCTGTGGGCTGCGCTCCAGGCTGCGGGCAGCCCTGTGGGGATGAACAGGGAGGCAAGAAGGAAGACCCTGAAAACAGACCGCTGCCTGTGTGTCCCGACCCAGGGTCGGAATGTCAGGATGCTTAGAGTTTGGTTTTGTTTAACTCTACGAATTAACAGACTTCAAACACTTCCATCTTCACGGAAATCAACAGCAACCAGAGAGCTAGCAGGGCGCGGAGGCTCACGCCCCTTCTGTAGAAAGGCACCAGATGGCTTGTTACAAAACACACTTTGGTCAGAAAATAGCTGGGGTTTTTGGTTTCTGAGAGGACGACAAAGCTAGAGAAAAGGAGGTGTGAACTGTGTGAGGCACAGGTGAGAAGGCGGCTTTGGCATCGGGCCTGGGCTCTGCTCTAGACTCGACCCCTTCCACGCTGGTGGCCTGTTTTCTCAACCGTAAAAAGGCAACAAAATATTCTTCCCCAGATCTGGGCATGAGGTTTCACACATTCCCCCAGGAAGTAGGGGAGTTGGACTCAGGGACACACGCGGGACATGCAGACACACGGATGAGTGAGCACAGCTCACCGCTGGGGGAGAAGGGGGGTGGGGGACCCGATGGAGGGCAGTCATACACAGGTGATCACCACTGTTGCGGTCACACTCTGGGGGTCTGTGGGCAGCCAGTCACACTGTTTGGAGCGCTGACAGGACCACCCTTCAGGACTTTGGACCCCTTCTTGTGGAAGGGCAGCTGGGAAGCTCTTTGCATGCAGCACCATGGAGCAGCCCCCAGGAGCCACACCCACTGTGTGTGCTTTAAAGTGCCAGCTGTGTGTCGTCTTTGGTCAGGGGCTGCCCCCTGCCTCTGAGGGCCCCGGGGCCAGAGGCTGAAGTCCAGGCCTGCTGGGCCCCTGCCACAGATGAGCTGGAGGCTGCAGCCCTCTCCGAGGCTACGATGCGCCCCCCTGCTCAAAAGGTGATGGGAATGAATGCTCCGACCACCTTCACTGAGGAGCAGGGACGCCTCCAGGGAAACTGGGTCCTTAGAGAAAAGGGGCAAGAAAGGCTTTGGTCATCGTCCAGACACCCACAGCAGGGTGGAGCTCGCCTAAGAGATGGCAGGAAGCTGGTTATGACGCTGTGCTCCTGCCTGACACAAAACTTGCTTCCGAGTCGAACCAGAAGTCACTGAATAAATATTCAAGGCATCCTTCAGTTCTTAGAGAAAGAGTAGGGTTAAAAAAAAGTTTCTCCTTCCCTTTGCTCAACTGGATGCAGCTTTGGTCTGCAGGCTGACAGTGCTGCCCACTGGAAAAGGGTGGCCGGGGGTGTCCCATCCCAACCATAGGTGGCTTTGGTCACATGTCCCGCCAGCTCTGGGTGCTCAGAAGCTGAAGAGGTCCTCCTGCTCAGCGCCGCTGCTGTCAGGTTTGTCCCAGTCGACAGGTGAGAGGCACTGGGCGTAATGGATGTCCTGTGCGGTCAGTCCAGTGTCCAGGACCTGAGGGTTCGTCCGAGACTGGGCAAGCCTGGAAGGCAGAGCTGTGTAAGCTAAGGGCCCAGGCAAGGGGCTGGTGGGGACAGAGTGGCCAGTCTGGCCCCACCAGCACCAGGGGCAGGAGTGAGAGGGTATGGGTGGAAAATGCAGGGCTCGGGGGCCAAAGAAAAAAGCCCCAGACGTCAGGAGAGGTGGAGTCAAATGGCTCCACCATTTGTGGCTCCACCAAATGGCTCCACCACGTTGTGGTCAAATGGCTCAGAAAACTGGGGGGCAGGCAGTGGCATTCCTGCCAGAGAGGCCAGGGCACCCACACCGTCCCCAGCTCCACCAGGGAATGCTCAAGACAGGGACAAGGGCCGCACTGGTGAGGACGGCGAGAGGGACACACATGGGAGGCGGATGGCACAACAGTGTTAGATAAACTACTGGCTGTCACCACGTTGGACACAGTGCTGTTCAAAAATGAACTTAAAAAGGGAGACAGCCTAAGTAAGGGGAGAAGAGGGGATTTAGGTAAATCATAGCCCATGCCCTTAAAAGAATGTGAGGCAGTCCATGAACAGGGCACCTCTAACAGCCTGGAGACACCCTCCTGATATGTGGCATTAAGTGAAAATCAGGAACCCAAGAGCAAATATGACGAACTGATCGATGCAAAAAAAATGTATATGAACAGTATTAGCAGGAATGAAGCCCCAAAGTCTGGGTTGTGGGACTACAGGGTGATATCATTTCGTTTAATGCTTTGCTGATTTTCAGAGTTGTTAGTAAAAGGCTACATGATACTCAGATAATCTGGAAAAAGCAAATGAAAGATTGTCTTCAAATGAGGGGGTGGTAGTCAGCCAGTGAAACAGGGAAACAGCCACAAGACCGTCTCTGCCTCCGTGAAGGAGTTGCAGGCACCTCCGCCCCCAGGACCAGGGCCTTTCCACCAGACTCTGGCAGGAAGGGCTTGGGGAGGAGGGAGAGGGATGTAGGGGCTGCTGAGTGTCCTGGAGGAGAAAGAAAGGCCTAACTCGAAACCCTGGGCTGCCCAGGCCTCTCCTCAGCCCTCTCGGTGGCCTTTCCCAAGCTAAAGGTGGCCGTGGCCACAAGGATGGCTCCTGGGAGAAGACGGGAAAATGGCCACACCTCAGGGGAGACGAAAACAGCTCCTTGCTGCACCTGACATTCCTCTATGCAATGCTTCATGGGCTTGAGTAAGCACTGCCTTCTCCCTTCCCCTTTTCATAAATGTAAAACCTTTGGAGGAAAAAAAGCCTGCAAAAAAAGCTAATTTTTAAAGGTTACACCAGGTGGAGGAAGAGAAAAATCAGCCTGAGCTACGGCAGTGAGTTCAGTTCAGATGACAGTGAAGCAGCCAGTAGGAATAGTTTTTGACTTAGCAGCAAGAGCTTTCTAACAGACCTGGCCAACCCTAGAGAGTGAACTCCCCACCCCCAGAGGTATTCAAGTTGAGATTTTTTACTTTGGAGAAAGTCAAGAGTTCTCAAACATGGCAAGGGCCCCAAAGACCAGCCCACAAAACCCAGGCCTCCTTTCCCAGCATAAGGAGCCCAGGTAACGTTACCTTGAAAATGCTTCATCCAGGTCGTCATCCAGCTCCTTGGGGAAAACAAAGCGGGAGGTGTGAGCCCTGGGTGGGGGAGCCCGCGCTCACAGCTGCGACTTGCCCCAGCCCAGAGTACGCTACAGGGGCTCCAGACACAAGCACCGGAGCCCAGTTGGAGCCTGCAGGAGCAGGCACGGGCAGGCCTCCCGCCTGGCTGCTGCCACCAGCCCACATCTCAGCCCACACATCTCAGCCCATGGACCCAAACCGGGAATGTGGAACAGGGGAAAGGGCACCTGGGTGGGTTCAGGTCCCAGCTCCGTCACTACTCAACTGACCCCTCAGGCAAGTCACCACTCCTCTTTGAGACTCAGCTTTTCCTTCCATAAAATGACGGGTTGGACCGCATGCCTACGAAGGCTTTCAGATTCACAGAGGAAGAGGGTGGGGAAGGCTTCCTTGCTTTCATTTGCTTCCAAAAGCCCAGCCCAAATGCCAAGTTCAAGGGATAACTGCCTAGGTGGGAAAACAATGAGGGAGGCCCCTTCACAGTCTCTCTGAGGGCTTGGGCAGGGGCCAAGGGTGGCTCCAGACCGCACCGGACAGGCTCAGAGCGCCTGCTCGGGGGACACTGAGCAGCCCCCACCGGGCAGCAGGACTGGACAGTTCTTCATGTCCCGCAACGCACCATATTTTTTAAATCCTTTTGAAGAGGTATGACAAGTAATGTGTGATTCGGCAATGGACCCTGGACCAGAGGAAGGACACTGCGGGGACCAGCGGAGAAATGTGAATGAGGCCTACAGATTACATGATAATGCCATGTCAGTGTTACCGCCATGATTTTGATCACTGTGACGTGGTCACATGAGATGCTAAGATTTTGGGAATCTGGAGAAAGAGGAACAAAAATTCTTTGTATTGTTTTTGTAACATTTTTTATAAATCTGAAATTACTTTCAAATAAAAAAATTTTAATTTCAATTAAAAAAATCGGGTTCCTCCAGGAGCTTCTGCAGACAGAGGTCAGCGCCCTCACTGAAGGGATGAAAATCCCAGACACAGCGGTCAGGAGGCTCGCCCTGAGTCACAGAGCAAGTCAGGGCCGACAGCGGACTGCCCGTCTCTGACTCCGCGTTCAGAAGGCTGAGAGGGGAGGAGTGTCAGGAACAGACTCTGCCCACCAGAGAACAAGGGAGCCTTTGGCTCGTCTGCCAGTGGGTTGAGCTGTGGATGCTCAGCCCAAGAGGCCGGGCATTGTGAGGAGACAGCTGTGCTGGGAGGCAAGCCCGTTGGGGACGCAGCCCTCGGTTCAAAGGGGACATTGTTCACCCCCGACCCTGGGCCTGGGGGCTGCTAGGCTGGGTCTGGCCCTCTCAGATGCCTGTAGGTCATGGCGCCAGGCCCTGGACCACCCTTCAGCCTCATCCAGGGATCAGGCTGAGGCCCACCGGACCCCTGTGGGGTCACCAGGCCACAGGAACACTCACCCAGACAACACTGCTGTTGTTCAAGGCTGGAGCCCTCGGCGCCTCGTCCATATTAGTGGTATTGGCGCTGACTGTGGAGAGCGGGGCCTTCTCTTCCAAGTCCAATAGGTTCCCGGTGGCGACCACTATGAGGGGTCCGGTCAGACGTGTCAGTGAGAGGGGCATCCGGTCTCCCGGCGTCTCCTCGTCCATCCTGGAGCCTCCTGGGCTGCCTCGGTCCCGACTCCCTCCTTGGGTCTGGCCTTTCCCAGGCCCACCACCCAGAGCCCCACTGTGGCACCTCCCAAAGCAGCTGGACACCCACCTACAACAGGGGAACCTCCCCCCAACTACTGGTTTAGGCTGCAACCTTTATATCCACAGCAAGTGTTAGGTTTTTAAAGAAATCCCTCAACATGATACAAAATATACACAGAGACATAAACGTATATTCTTATTTTTGCACAGGGACATATCTGGAAGAACATGCACCACAATGAGTAACGCTTTCCCCTTATCTACATATTCTAATTTCTCTACAACAACCACATGTTATTTATTTAACAAAACAATTTATGGGGGGTGGGGTGGGCTGGGAAGGGAGCAAAAGGCAGAAAAGTGTACTTGAACAACAAAAAAAACATTTAAAGACCAAGAGTTTGCTCCAGCCCAGGAGGAGGCCTCTGGATGAAGGGCAGACCCACATCATGCAGCTGATTCCACCCCCCAACCAAGACTCACAGTTCTTCAACGAGGGGGTGCTGTCGCAGCGGCCCCCGCCCAGGACGTCCCCTCCCTCTTGGCTGGCTTTCTCCCTCTTCTCCTTCTCTGTGGGAGCAAGGCACAGCACTGTAGAGCTCTGCCCCCAGCAACTGCCGGGCAGCGGGGCGGGCTGTGGCCAACCTCAGGGGGCAAGTTTAGGTCTCCAGCAGGAAGGAAAGGAACTCTGCAGATTTCAATTAATCCCCACAAGCACCTCGGGGGAGAGACAGCTGTTCCCACTTCCTCTGATAGGGACGCTGAGACTCGGAGAGGTGAAAGAACCTGTCCGAAGTCCCGAAGCAGGTAGACCATGAAGGGGAGAGTCAGTCCAGGCCTTTCCCATCCTCTCTCCACCCCACACTGCTCTGCCGGCCTTCTTCAACGCTCCCTCTACACCCCCACCCACCCGTGATGTCTGTGAACAAGACTCACCTTCCTTGGACACCTGCCAAAACTCAAAGGCAACTTTGAAGGCCTGAGCTACCGTGAGGGTGACAGCCTGAGCCTGAAAAACAGGAAGTGGGGTCAGGGGAGAAGTGCGGTGTTAGGCGGGTAACAGCAAGTCTGAACCGGAGGCTGGCCAGGCCCACCCTGGCTCCATTCCAAGCCTCTGAAATGCCTAATAGATGGAGGCAGAGTCCTGGCCCCTCCTGGGTCACATGAAGCTACTACCCTCTCCCCAGGTGGCTGGGGCCCCATCTTCACCACCTGTAGCCTAGCCAAGGTCCCACCCTCATTCCAGCCCCTACCTTGGCAATGGCTTTTTTCCCTTCCCCTTGGGCTTTCCTAAATTCAATTTACTATGAGACTTACTTCCTCTGAGAAGCCCTCCCTAATTACTTGAGGACTTCACACAGTTACTTAACCCTTGGAATTAAAGAACAGAAAAGCCAGACTTGGAAAGGTTCTGACCACTGTCTGAATGAGCCACAGCCTCAGAGGCAAAGGTTGGACTGGTTAGTGCTCTCAAGGGTCAGAGGGCTTATAACTGAATCCCAGAAAGGCAGCTGGAGGCTTACATATTCCCTGGCAAAAGCAAGATGTCAATGAGTGCCTGTGGCAGGAGACCAAAACCATTCAATGCCATAATCCACCTGTAAGAAGGGACCGCACCTTGGCCTTTCACCCCTGGGGAACTCCCATCCACTGTTCAAACCCAACTCAAATGTCACCCCTCTCTCGTGGCACCAGCTTACATGCCTGTGTCACCCAATCTGGGTGCTCACTAAAGGCCAGAATCACCCGATTCCCTGAGCCCCCCCCCCCAGGCCCTCGCAGTGCAGCGTGCTGGCTGAACCGCGTTTGCCCACGAGGCAGGTGTCCTGAGGCCTCCCACTCCAGCCAAGACCCACCCCCATCCCGCACTCAACTCCTTCCTCTCTGGTTCTACTTAATCAGCTCAGCTTCTGGAAGTGGAAGTCCCAGAGCTCACAGTTATTGCTGGAAGCAACAGCCAGCTTCCCTCTGAAACCCTGGGCCTGGGGAGGCGAGCAGCAGGCCCTTCCAAGCGGACAAGTTCAGGCCGAACCAGCCTCTGCCACACTCCCTTCCTCTCTGCCAGACAACTTTAACTGAGAAATGAATCTGCGGCTACTGCCTTTAAAACTCTTTTTTTTTTCATTTAAAATCCCTAAACAAGCTGACTGATCCATGCCAATTAAACTTCACGAAGTATAAAATCTCATTTGAATGTCTCCATCATTTACATTTTTGATGGAAGTACAGGCACTTTATGGCAAAACTTAAATATGGTAATTAAGTATGAAACTCTTCACAGCTGTTTACAATTTAAGCTGTCACGTCTGAATCAAGTTTAATAGACCCAGTTACCATTGAGAATTGCCCATGAACTAAAAATATGGACTAATTACACGTCCAAGTCAGACCACTATACACCCAAGCAAGGGGTGGTCACCCAATGTGGCAGGGAAGTGGAAACACCATTATTTTTGCCTCCAGAAAATCTGTGGGCAGAAGCCTAATAGCATTTTTGCATAAATCTGCTTGTTCATTTGCATACATTCCTGCCCTTTCACCCTGAATTCCTGAACTGAAAGTTAAACCAAATATAACCCAAGATTTGAAGGTGTACCAGGTGGCTGCAAGCCCAGGCTGGGCAGGGACTGGGAGGGGTTTGGGCTCTGCTTTCTGGGGCAGCTGCAGGAATTTGGGCAGCATAAGAAGAAAAGACTGCTCCAGCCGGTCCACAGGAGAAGGGGAGAGGGGAGGGGGGTGGAAGGAGGGAGTCTTCCTTGACTCTACAGGACAGATGCCGATTCCTCTCAGTGCCTTTGGCCTGCGGGTTTATCTCATTACCCTAACCAGGTTCTACTTTGCCCAGTTTTTCATGTCCCTGTCTTGTTCCCAGTAACTGGGCTGTTAGCTCCTCAGTGGGGCCAGGTATAGTTTGGGGCTGCAGAACTGGGCTCGGACCCCAGGATCCCAGATTGTAGCCGGGTGGTCAGACTGAGTCCCTTATCACTCTACTGACCCAGAAGCATAAGTCTTTGCACAAAAGGATTACCCGAGAATCGCCAATGGCCCTGGGAGGGAAAACAGCTCTACCCTGCCCTGCCTAGGGCAGGATTAAAGGTGTTACTTTGCTCACTACCAGCACACCTACACTGCACCGCTCCACCTTCACTTCAGAGCCTAGAGGCTGAAGTGCTTGCTGAGGCTTCCCAGTTGGGAAATGGAAATGTTGCTTTGCAGAGACTTATCCTGGCCATGCCTGACAGGGGCCACCGGGAAAGGGAGGCCTGGGGGTGGACCTGCCTGAGTTGAGCTGAACTGGTGGGCACCATAGAAAGGAACCCCTTGCCCCCTACCCTGGATGGGTCATGGGCATCTTGCTCATTCAGACGTCCAGGTAAGAAAGGGTGGGGATGTAGAGACTGTGGGACCCAGGCCAAAAGGAGTGAGGACTCAGTGAACATCCAAATTCAGGGCTCCCCTGCAGGATGACTCTACCTTGCCATCCTGCCAGGCTCCAGTGACATCTGAGTCCTCAACTACCATTCACCTGACTTAATTCTGCACCTCTGTGTCTTTCTTTGCACTCACTAATTCCTGTGCTGGAGGGCACTCACCCTCTCACCACCCCTATCCTCTTGCCTGGCAAACTCCTCCCTGTACGCACCCTTCAAAGCCCAATTCAAAATGTCCCTTATCTGAAAGTCTTGCTGATGTCCAGCAAGGCTTTGTAACCTCCAGCTAGAGCCAAGACCTCTGTATTCTGGTTCCTGAATCTAGCTTCTTCTCCCCAACCGCCTAGTTCATGTCTCCATGGCCAATTCCCTGGATCCCTGGCACCCGACACAGGGCTTAGCCCAGGACAGGCAGCAGCAAACATCCGTGGGAGTCCCTGTCAGCAAACCCTGAGGCTGCCATTTCACCTGCTGCCTCCTCCTCAGAAACATCCACAAAGCCCCAAGAATCTCGGGATTTCCATGACAGCCAGGCCACCAGGCCATCTACACACTGCCAGCTTGGGCTCGCTGAGGCCTAAGGGACCACATCCTTGCATCAGATGGTCCTATTTACACCACCCAGGGCTGGGCTAGTTCCTGAAGGGGCTTCCCAGGCCTCCCTAAAGGTGGGAGAAGAAGGATGAGGTGTGATCCAGCCAGTCATCCCTGACCCAGATGAGAACCTGCTAAGAAGCGAGAGTGTTTGAGCCTGGATGTCCCAGGACCTCTTCCCTCTGCCCGATCAGGAGTCCGCTGTCAGCGGGAAGCAGTGGCTGGGCTGTTTACCTCAGCACTGACCTCTTGGCCTGGGGCAGGCCGATTTTGATCAGCCCCATCTAAAGTCCTCTGGACCTGGACCAGGCCTCCCTCACCACTGGGCCAGCATCTGCTTTCTTATACCCCCACCTCCCTTTCCCAGAGGAAGCCTCAGCGTCTTGGGAGCTCCAATCCCCCCTCCCCGGCAGAGCCTGTAGCAATGACCGTGGCCAGCTGCCCTGCCCAGTGCTTGCTCTGGTCAGTGGGAAGGAAAAGACGAACAATGGGTACACAATGAGCCTGTGTTTTTAAGTCAATGTGGCCTCATAAGAAACAAAGCCAGGAGTCCACTATCCCGGGAGAAGCCACAACTCAGAGACTTGGCATCAACCAGGCACGGGGTAAGTGGCTGGAGACACTGAGTCTGCAGAAAAAAGAGGTGCAAAAAAGAAACCGGGGCCTTTCAGAACCATCCTGGAGGTCCCTGAGGTGTCCTCCTCAATTTGCTGATGGGCAAGCAGCCCAGAGAAAGGCGGGGTCTTATCCACGGTCACACAGTAAGTACATCAGCTGTGATCAGGCCCCTCGTATGACTCCTCCTGTAGTGAGACTTGTGGCTGGCTGAACTGTGCCCTCAAAGGTGTCCCCATCCTAATCCCTGGAAACTGTGAGCGTTACCTCACAAAGGCAAAAGGGACTTTGCAAGTGTGGTGACATTAAGGATTTTGAGATGGAGGATTCTCCTGGATTATGCAGTGGGCCTAATCTCAAAGGGCCTTATGAGAGGGAGGCAGGAGGCTCCAAGTCAGAAATTGCGACGTGATGTGGGAAACAGAGAGACTGGCAGATGCTGCACTGCTGACGCGGAGGCGAGAGAAGGGGCCGTGAACGGAGGAATTCAGTGGCTCTAACACTAACCAGGCAAAGGGACGTACCTCCCCCAGAACTTTCAGAAGGAAACAGCCCCGCCAACCCACTTCAGACTTCTGACCACCAAAACCATACAAGAGTAAATCTGTGTTCTTTTAAACACTAAGTTGGTGGTGGCCAGTGTGGCTCAGGTGGTCAGAGTGTCATTCCATAGACCAAAAGGTCACAGGTTCGATCCCCCACTGGGGGTCCATATAGGAAGGCAACTGTTGGCTGTTTCTCTCACATGGATGTTTCTCTCTCTCTCCCTCCCTCCCCCTCTCTGAAAGCAATAAAAAAAGTCCTCAGGCAAAGATAAAAAAATAAAATAAACACTGAGTTTGTTGTAATTTCTTACAGCAGCAATGGGAAACATATCTAAATGGGGGTGGGGGTGGATATGGGGCCAGAAGTTCCTGGCTCCTTACAGTCATGCAGGGAAGGGAGAAACACGGGTTTAAGCCCTAGCTTTGCCGGGCTACTAGTCATCTTCAGCAAGACAACTGACCTCTGAGTCTGTTTACTCATTAAAAATAAAAATGAAAACAATGAAGAGAGCAACTGCCCCCACCTCACAGCACTGCTGAGAGTATTAAATGAGACACCTTAAAGCCCACCACTGAAACAAGCACGAAACATACCAAAACGGTGGCCCTTTCCCTCCCCGCTCTGGCCACAGGAAGCCGAGCCTCCCAGGAAGCACTCTTGCCCTCCATCCTGGGACCCTCTGATCACCCATCTCTAAGAACTAATCCTTACAAGGCGCTGCACCTCCAGACCATACTATTAACAGGGGATGCCCCCAAATCTCAAACCCAACAACTCATGTTAGAGAGAAGAAGGGGCCCAGGGCACTCACTAGGGACACGGGCTTGTCGCTGCTCACTGTGTCAGGTGTCCTGGTGCCCCCCTCCTGCCCCCACCACCCACGTGGGTTTCCCAGGGATTTCACACTTTCAGTGATGTGTCACCTTTGTCTTGCCTCCCCACCAGACAGGGCCGGCCCCCAAGGACAGGCTGCCAAGGCAGGCAGAGCCTGCCCAAGACCCAGCCCCACCCCACTAACCACTTTCCGCTTGGTGCAGAGGAAGGCGTGGCATTCAAGATTCTCGCTGTGCTGGCTCTGGGCGATGTAAGCAAACACCTTGCCGTGCATCTTGTCTGCTGTGCAGTAGGAGATCCTGAAAGGCAAGTGGGAAATATCACCAGATCCCTGCACAGGGGCCTGGCAACATCCAGGACACCCCACAGCACATCTCCCCTGAGTTTCAGAGAGCCAGCCTTGGCCTCTGGGCCTGGCACCCTGGGCTGTCTATGGGGGAAGGCGAGGTGGGGGGTGACAGGTGACAACCCAGGCTAGACAGGAAGGACTAGGGGAAAGCAGGAGGAGGAGCACTTTCTCTGATCTATTGAACCACACCCAAAAACTGTAATGGCTGAGCCTTTACTATATACCAGGCAACATTCAGATATCAACTCATTTAACTCGCTGAGCTGCCCTCTGAGCTGGGTTCTATTATTAGTCCCCCTTTTCACATGAAAAGACTGAAGCTAGCAGTCTTAGACCGCCAAGCTAGTGGCAGAGCTGAGACTGACCTCACCTGCTGATTCCAGAGGCCGTAACCACTGCCATACTACCTCTTAAGAGTTTGTGGGGACCAGGTGGAAGGGGAAGTGGGACACTGCCCACCACTGGGGCCCTTTACCTGGCCTCCCCCTCCCCGACCTGCCCTCTGATCATGCCCCTGACCAGAGGTCAGCAGAGCTCCAAGCCTGTCCCTCCCAGGGTGACTGGTCTAGCAGATTCTGCTGGAGCTTGGACGGTGGAAGAGCTGGGAGCAGGGTGAGGGTGTATGGGAACGACCGGATCAGAGCCCCAGTGGGTCCAGGAGCTCCCTCCTCCTGCAGCAGCACTCGCCTCCCTTGCCCGACCCCTCCATGCTGGCTCCAGTCATGTCGAGAATCTCAGTCAGCAGGGGAACTGGCGGCCCAGAATGGGGATAGGAGTTCAGCAGACTCCCTTACCCAGTGTGGGCCCAGCTTCGACCACAGGCATAGACATAGGCATTAACACCACCTGAGACCCCCAAGGTGGGCGACTACCCTTCTCCATCCAGCCTGCCACCTCCGCTGAGAGGCCTTCCCAGGTTTTCCCCAGGCAGGGCCCTCCTTCTCTTTCCTCTTGGGAAACATTTAAACCCTATCTCCTATTTCCTTCCCTCCATTCCCTCCTAGACTGGAAACTCCTTGAGGGCAAGGCTGGGTCTAATACCTCACCCAGGTATCAGGGGCAGACAGAATTAAGATGAAAAATACCAGCCAGAAACTCTCAAACCAACCCACTCCCCACCCTAGTACTGGCTTGTGCTCCAGCCAGCTACACCACCTGCTTAGAGACAAAGCAATATGGAAGACCAGGGCTGGCTGGACAGAACTCTGGCGTCAGTATCCTGGTCCCAGCTTAGCCACTACCTCACTGTGAGGCCTTGGGCAATTCCCTCTCTGGACCTGAGATTCTCCTTTTGTAATATGCGTCTCCAGCGCTGTCCCTTCCAGCTCTGAAATCCTACAGCTGACCAGCCAAGAGAGGATGGAGAGAACCTGAGGCTCCGAGGGCTGGGATCTGCCTCCTCATGAACAGGGATTCCTGCCTCCTCCAACTGCTACCATCTACACTCTGGCTTCCGACTCTGCCTTCAGATATCACCTCATTTAATTCGGCGAAATCCGGTACACCTGGCCAGAAGTGCCGAGCAGGGCTGCTGCATTCACCGCAGAGGGAAAGGACCATGACTCTGCAGCCTGACTCAGAAGCATGCTTGGGTGGGTGGGAGGGCATGGTTCCCAGTCCTGATCAGGCCTCAGCTGCCTGCTGCAACTAGTGATCAGGACAGCAGCACCTGCCATTTAACCAAGTGCCCATGTGAGCCAGGCCCATGTGAGCCAGGAGCTGTGCACCCACATTTCCTTACAGCACTGTGAGGCAGGATCTGTTTCCACCCCAATTTATAGATGAGGAAACTAAGGCTCCACAGTCATTCAGACAGGGAGTGATAGAGCCTCGCTTCAGAGAGGACATTCCGCCTACTGCCCCAAGTGGCAGAGTGAATGCGGGCAATAATGAGCATACCTGTAAATGGACACGTTCTCAATGAGCTGGTTGGTGATGCCGTCGGTCAGGATAATCCCCCGTGGAGACACCTTGAGAGTCACCTTCTGCAGCTTCTTCCCGCTGGCCTTGGCCTTGGGTCAGACATGGGTCAAAGGAGCCTGCCTGCCTCACTTGGGACCCACCCTCAAGGCTTCATCTAGCTGCTCCAAGCCCCAGACTCCAGGCCCGTGTGAGGCCTCAGCTGAGGTGATTGGAAAACGTGATTTAGAAGACAATTTAGCCACCATCTTCTTCTAATAAAGAAAGAGACAGCTGCTGCTCACTGCACACTGGCTATCTGCCAAGCACTGGACCTTCAGGCATCCTCATGGGCAACAGTGCTTCTTCCCAGGAGGAAATGGAGTCAGAGAGGTTAAGAGACTTGCCCAAAGACACACAGCTGGGAGGGACCGCAGACTCTGAGCACTGAGTAAACTATCACAACCCAGCAGGAAGATTCCTGGAGACTCTGCTCCATCTACAGACCCCACCAGGGCCCAAGCTAAGGGGTCTAAGGCCACCAAGGGAGGTGAATTTATAAGGCCTACATTTGCTCAGAGCTGGGGAAGGGAAAATCTGGTCCCTATTGTGCTCACCTGCTCCTCAGGCCACAGAGCAGGTGACTGGGTGACAGTTACTTCCTCATCCCTTCCTAGCATACAGTCACCAGCCATTAGGCAGGGGGCCTGGGCTGGGGAGGGGCGGCTGGGGCAGGACATGACCACAACTGCTGGAGAGGAGGGCACTGACCAGGGTTCCCCCTGAAAGCCCAACTGCTACCCTTCCCCAGAGTCCCTGAGCCAGATGCAAGGGGACTCAAGGGCAGGGACAGGTCAGACACATCCAACTGGGAAAATAAACAGGGGACAAACAGCACTCCAGAAAGAAGCTGGCCCTGGCTCCTGCAACTGGGGCTTACCGTGGCCACGATCCTCTTGACAGCGGCTGCCGACATCTCCTCGCCCTTGGGCTGCTCCACCAGCGTCATGCCCAGGTACTTGAGGCTGAAGATCATCCCCTCAAGCAATGTCTCCCGAGTGTCTGTCCAGTTCTCAGGCAGCTCTGGGAGGGAGAGGACAGGCCCTCAGGCCCTGCTGGGGGCGGGCCTCTCACAGCCCCCGTTTCCTGGGAGACCCAGCAAGGGACGGTGGGGTCCCCCATCTGCCATTATTTTTATAGTTAATAAAGGGCCAAACTAACATTTTCCAGCATGTACCATGCACTATGGTACAGATAATGTTCTCTAACCTTCATGAGGACCTAGAAGGCAGATACTTTATTACACCCACTTACAAAGACACTGAGGCTCAGAGAGGCAAAATCACCTAACCGAGTCCAAAGAGCCAGCAAGTACAGGAGCCAAGATTCGAACCCATGCTTTCAAGTCCAAAGCCTAAACTCAACTTCAATGCCTAGGGCAAAACACACCATCTTCCTACCGGATCTTCAATGCAATCCTGCAAAGTTGATATTATCCCCACTTTAGAGATTAGGAAACCAAGGCTCACAGAGAGGCAGAGTCATCAGACAACAGCCCCATATAATGAGTAAAGGGAGCCCAGGAGTCACTCAGATACGGGCCCTCCTCTCGAAGAAACCAGAACCACCACCATCATCAGGATAAAACAGAGCTACCAAGTAACAGATGGCAATAATCACAAAGCAGCAGCTCTTACCATTATCTCTAATACTTATGGCTACCTTGCAAACAGGCATTTTTAATTTCCATTTCACAGATAAGAGAACTGAGGCTCAAAAGACCAGTAACATGTCAAATTAGCTGTCTATCTGTCTAAACCTAGCCATTAGTCAATATTATCTTCCCACGAGGAAAACTAGCTTAATGTTGGCAAAAGGTCAGAGGGAAGTTCCTAGAGCCAGAGGTCTTTCCTCCCACAGGTCCTGATTCCCGAGGCTTCTCCTCTGCTGGTAGATACCCAGACCACCACTTTCCACCACGACTCCATCCCCAAGCAGGGATGGCAAAGTGTGTGCTGCCATGTCTGTCTTCTGTGCCCCTGGCAGACACTGCTAACCAATTGTAGCCCTTTCTCTTCCCTCTCATTTCCAGGCTTTGGACTGGTTCTCAGCACAAGGCTCTAGGCAGGCAATCAGCAGTGGCCTTGTTCATCTCATTATCCGACACTGCCCTATGGCAAACGTCCCCCCCATCACCACCATTTTCATGTCCCCACTCTCCCATTTCCTCTGGTTCAGCCCTTTCCTGGCCTATCTCCAAAGCCACTTCCGCTCCCTCCATTCCAAAGGGCCAAAGCTTGCCAAGGTCACAGACGACCTCTTTGCTGTCAAAACATTCCCCAGCCCTCCTTGACCTCAGAGATGCTCAACATTTTTCTGCATTCCTTCTTCCCTGGCCTGACCCCTTCCCGATTCTGTGGTCCCCTGGAAGAGGGCCTGAGTAGACTGGTTGCCACTCATCAGCCTCAGAGACCTTCTGGCCAAACCCCTCCCTCAAAGAAGACACTGAAGCCTTGAGAAGAATGGGACCTGTGCGAGGCCACACAAGTAAAGGGACCCCCGGCTCCTAACCCACTGTAAGCAATTCCTACCATGACTGTGGGGGAGTTACAGGTTTCCTAGTCTTCTCTCCCACAATACCCCTACACACACACACACACGTGCTGACATACAGAAGCCGCTCTAACCATGCAGCACTCCTTCCTCATGATGTAACATGTACTTTCTCACTTCTGTGCCTTTGCTCACGTAGTTCCCTCTGCCACAAACACCCTTCCTCTCACTTGACAGAAACTGCTCCCAACCAGCCTCCTGCAAGAAGCCTCATTGAGACAGTATGGTTTAGGGGGTAAGAGCAGAGGCCTACACTCTAGAATCCTGGTTCTGACACTGAGCAGACTTGGGCGAGTTCATTACCATCCTTGAGGCTCAGTTTTCTCATTTGTAAAGTGGGAGGAAACAATAGTTCTGACTTGTTGGGCTGTTCTGACTTTCCATGTAGTAAAATGTACAGTGCTCAGCAGGAGGCCCCGGCAGGAGTCATGCCTCCTACGGGCGCACCCCCCCGGTCGGTGAGCTGCTCCTGCCCCTCTTGAGCGTGGATTTCCTTTTCTTCCTCCCATAGTCAAGCAGCTGCCTCCACACGACATGTCTTCCTCTCGAAGGGCGTCCGTTCCTGTCTCCCCCAGAAACTGGTAGAGAAAGGTGCACTCCTTCCCAGTGCTGCTGTTCCAGCTGTCTTACTTCTCTCTGGCCCACCTCCCATCCCCCTGCCCTCCCAGGACCCGCAGAGATCCTCCTTCTCCTCCTCCTCCTCCAGGGAAGCCAGCCTCCAGGCCTATACTCCTGGGTGTGACTCATCTCTTTGACGAGGTGTATGGCCTCTCTTGCCCGCCTTCTACGAGAGACCAGCACCTGAGAGCACACCATAGAGACAGAGACAGGGCTCACCACCACGCCAGCCCTGCTCACTGCCCAGCCACCTCAGGTAGGCTGGAGGCCGCAGGCCCCTTCCCAGGAGGAGGCTGGGCTTCAGGAAGAGCTCCCAGAGGCCGGCAGACAAATACAGGCCTGAGTCCACAGCCTTGTTCCGGTCCGGGTTATTTTTGGCCCTGTGGTGGGTAATGACTAGGCTATTTTAACTTTGCAGTTTTACAGATGACCTGCTATCCGAGTTAGCTGGGGACAGACCATATGCCCAGTCTAACTTGAGGCTGCAAACATGTGCCCTATCGTCATTAAGGCCCCCAGCCCAGCAGTCAGAGCTGGGCAGGGCGTCCCTGTGCCCCTTCTGCCACCCCCGGTGCCCTGGCCTGGCTGGTGTCCAGAACACCAGAGTGGCAGCCAAATCCACGGGCTGGGGCAACCTCCGGTGGGGGCCCCGGCCTCCAGCCTCCCCCAGCCTGGACGAGAGATGGCCTCAGAGCCCTCCGAGTGACATCGCAGAAAAGGTCAGAAGAGGACACAGGCTCTCCTGTGACCTGGGGTGTGGCTGCTTCTCCAGGCCACAGTCTCCTTCTCTGACACATGGGTTCTCAGTTCCTCGGGAACATCATCAGAAAAAAGTTCAGGATGTGAAAAGTGCTAGGCGAATTTCAGAAGTTGTTAAGATTACCAAGAGCAAATTTAAAATAACAGGGTCTGGAGTGGGCTGTGGGGTTCACAGTCTCTCCACTTTCCCGGTTCTGTCCCTCACTTGATGGGAATAACTTTATCCACGCCACGAGGCTGTAGTGAGGAAGAAATGAGGTGGGCTTAGAATCATGCCTGGTACATACCAAGGGCCACTGAAGCGTGAGCTATTGTCATTTCCAAGGGTTAAATGCAAAGAGCTTTAATGTACACACAGCCATTTGCAGTATTTTATGAAAGTGTCAAGGAGACACTAAGGCTCCCGTCTGACAGGTGAAGAAGCGCAGAGGAGCCTGGCCATGGCTCCTAACTGACAGTGCTGGGTCTTGAATCCCACAGCCCGGCCCCTTTGCCCGCTCCTGCAGCCCACCAAGCCCCTCCTTATGCAAGGCAGTAGGAGTGGGACTCTGGCTAGCCCAGGAGGGGCGGACATCCTGCCCTGCAGGACAGCCTGAAAGGAATGTCTGGCTCACCCTCCACGGCCAGTAGATGATCTGACTCCTTCAAGCCAAATACCCCTTCTCTGCCAGACCTGTGAGAAGCAGAATCCCAGACTCCAGTCAGATGTTCCCTGTGCTTGCTGTTCCCTCTGGCTGGAATGCTTTTCCCAGATTCCTCCCTCCCCATATTCACCCATATGTTCCAAAGCCACCTTCTCTGAGAGGTATTCCCTGACTTCCTGCACTGACACTATCAGTGTCCACTTCTATCTCCTCGGCGGGTACCACTTCCACACATGCAACACCACGTTCCACTCTCTGCCTGCAGCTTTCTGGCTGCTGGAGACACCAATGCCCATGCGGACCGGGACATTAGCGCTCCCACGCCCAGCAGCCCTGCACCCACCCATGACGGCACTGCCCCCAAACACAGTGACTGCAGAACACATTCCACACCTCCTCCCAGAGCTCCCCACAGGGTGGCGTGCTAGCTGCCCACCCACAGTGGGAAGGGGATCCACAGTGTTCACTTTTTGGACCCCCTTTCCTACTTGCTTTTCCTGACATTTCCTGGGACCTCTTCTCAAATAAATGACTTGTACTCAGATCTTTGCCTCAGCATCTGCTTCTAGAAGAATCCAACTGAAGACATCATCCTATGTAAGGAAGCTGTCCCCGTCACTGCTTCACACGCTTTAACTTTCTTTAGAGAATGACCACCACCCACAACAGACTACTCCTTCGCATCCCGGTCAGCCTGCCTCCCCCAGCACAGGGTAAATGCTACCGGAAAGGAGACCTCCTCGTTCACCAGACCCCCCAGCCCATCCCTCAGTGTCTGACACGCAGTCAGTGCTCAACAAATACTATGGTTTGAGGGTTTACTTGTATCTTTTATTGTAAATACTACAAATAAGTATGAACAGATCCTCTGCCCCCCACCTACCACTGTAAACTAGCTTGGTTGAACCTGCACCTCTTATTTCTTTAGCTGTCCTCACAGAGTTCTCTGATAGGCTGATAATCCACATAGGAGCCTGAGAGGCACAAGGACCCTCTTGGGAAAAAGGCTACTGAGGGGCCAGGTGAGTCACTATTCCAGACAGCTGGAAGAAAGGAAAATCCCTGGCTAGGGACGGAGATAATAATTTTACGGTTCCCGAAAAGATGGGGGCAAACCACACATGGGAGACGGAGAAAATCCTCCTGGGAAGTCAGGAGGACATGGAAGACAGGAGGCTGTGAGATTCGATGCAAAGAAGCCCAGGGCCCTGAATTTGCAGTGTGACCTCAGGTAACCTGCCTCCTTTTTCTCGGCTTCAGTTTCTCCACAAATAAAAGAACGATCACGCCAACCCCAGCTGAGGACCTTGAGGGGCGAGGAGCAGGTCAAAGCTGGCAGCAGGTGTCAAGTGTACCCTTATCTCTACTGGCTTCAGTCTGGCCCCCAAACAACCGGGCCCTCAAGGTCTGAGCTCAAGGCCTGACTGGGACACCACCCCAAGCCAGGCTGCCCCCACACGCCACCCCAGACACACCCCACAGCTTCCCTCTCCATCCTGTGGCTGCCAGCCCAACCTGGGATGGAGCCTGCACCAGCCCCTCCCATGGCCAGAGTCCCCGAGGGACAGTGAAAAGACGCGAGGGCTGGGGCTCGGGAGCACCGCCTCTCAGACGCTGTGTCGGAAGCTGTGTCGGAAGCTGTGTGTCGGGGTCAGTGACTCCGCTTCCCTGAGCCTCTGTTCCTGTATCTCTAAAATGGGCCTGATAAGAATCCTTGCTGTCACCTCACAGGAGCAAACGAAGTAACAGAAGTAAGAACACCGTATAAAACACTAAATGACAAAAGCAGTAGTTACCATTTATCAAATTCTTTCTCTGTGCCAGGCAAAACATGATTTCATTTAAGTCCCACCAAAAAAATCCAAGGTTATTTACAATTTACATATGAGGACACAGACTTAACAATGAGGGGTAGGTGGGGATTGGACCCAGACCATTCTTGGTCCAGAAAGCCCCAGAACAGCACTCTGGGCTTATTTGGGGTCTATAGGAAGGGGGGACTCCACTCCCCTTTCTTCTGCAGTTATAGGCAAGCTCTGAGACCACCCCCAAACTTATTCCACCACAGTTCAGTCATGTGGAAGGTACACAAAACGAGTGGGGGAAGGGGAGTGGGGAGAAGGAAACCACCAATTAGACGCCAGAAGGAGGCAAAATTATCAATAACCTCTTCAACACCCCTGTCAGGTTAGAATTCTCATCCTGCTCTGGCCAGGTGGCTCAGATGGTTGAAGCATCATGCCTTATACCAAAAGGTTGCAAGTTCAATTCCCAGTCAGGGCACATACATAGGTTGTGGGTTCGATCCCTGGTTAGGGTGAACACAGGATAGATGCTTCATTCTTTCCCCCATCCTCTCTCCCTAAAAAAAAAAAATCAATTAACATATCCTCAGGTGAAGATCTAAAAAAATTTTTTATCCTCGTTTTACAGATAAAGAAGCTGAGGATCGGAAAGGACAAGTGGCTTGTCCAAGATCACAGCGGGCAGGAGAAACTCTCTCCTACCAACCAAGATTTGAAATTTCAAGTTCCCCAGACTGAGAGGAACTTCTCAGTTTCCTTGACGCCCCCTCCCTCGTCCCAGGAGAAAATGGCAGGGTTTCCCCACTGGAACAGTTCATTATTCTCAGAAGTCCTGGAGAAATCCCACAAATATTTAAAGGGGCTATTTTAGGAGTCATTAAGTGTGGAAGATGGTACATGCCTGGTCAGGCCCTAACGGGTCTCTGACCCCACCCCCACCCACAGGCACCAGCCTCTGCTCCCAATGCCAGTCTCGGTTTAGGAGGCTGCCACAGCCAGAACAGGAGTTCAAGAGGAGGGGCAGGGCCGGCTCTCTAGGCCCAGACACGCTGGCACTCCTGGGCAGAGGGAACTCCGGCTCCCCTGGAACGCACGGGGAAGGGGGTGGGGTGTGACTGTGTCAGTGGTTTCCTGGTGGGGGGAGAGGCTAGGGTTCAGTTGGTTGGCAGGGGGTGGGACTGTGAACAAGTCCTGGCTTTGGCTTTGTATCTGCCAGGAAGACCTATGTGACTCCAGGCAAGCCACCCGGTTTGTCCTAGGGAAAAAGAAGAGACCTGGAATGGGTTTCTCAGGCCTCAGGGGAAGGTGCCAGGTGACGGGTTCCCTTGAGTAACTCGAGACGGGGAGAGGAGAGAGGCCGGATGAGGCCCCTCCCAGCCTCCCAGACGCCCTGGGGAGCGGTGGTGTCGAGCCTGTAATTCGCCTGGGCGCCCAGGGACCCTGGAAGCCCGCGGGGAGGGGGGAGGTGAGAGAGAAAACAGGTTTCAAAAGCAGCCAGGAGGCCAACCTCCACACCTGGACTCGGCTAGAGGAAGGGGACACAGGGATCTAAATGAGCTAGTGTGTGGTATCTCCTGAGATCCTAGGCTAAACTCGACCCAACTTCAAGTAGGTACCTGTGAACCCAAGCTCAAACCTGAGACCGCTTCTGGGCGCCCAAAGTCAAAAGATGACCTCCTGGGTTGGACAGGTGGAGGGGGCAAGTGGGCTCCAACCGGCCACTCATGTATCGGCTGGGGCGCAGAGGTGAGGGGATGGGGGCACACTTCCAAGCCCTGCGCCCATTCCCCAGGATCCTCCTGCATCCCCCGGCAGTTCGACGAGGCCAGGTGAGGAGGTGGTGGGGGGCGCGTAGGTCCCTCCTCCAGACCTGCAACCCCGTTCCCACAGCCGCCTGCACCTGGGGGCCCCGAGCTCCGGTCTCTTCCCCCAGCTTTTGTCCCTTTGGCCGCCCGGCACATCCTGGGCACGCGAGGGAAGCTACAACTTGAACCGGGGCAGCCCCTAACCCCTCAGGGAGCGGGTCTGGCCCCGCCTGTCCCGCCCGGAGCCCGCGAGAAGCTGATCCGCGCGGCCTGACCCGCTCCCCTGGCCCCCGCCCGGCCCGGGGCAGACGCGCACACACTCACTGCGGTGCCGGCCGCCGCCCCCCCAGCTCTGCTTGGCGAGGCTGGGGCTTCGGATCAGCGCCCTCCCTGCGGACTTGAGCGCGTCCATGGCCGCTCCGGCCGCCGCGGTTGCCGCCGCCAAAACTCCGTCAGGGAAAAACTTTCCGCAGCGGCCGGGCGGCGCGTGGGCTCCGCGCTCCTCCTCTCCCAGCGCGAGCTCCGCAGCGACGTCCGACGGGGCGGGGCGAGGGCCGGGGCAGGACCCACCCAGGACTCCGCCCCCGACAGCTCGACCCCGCCCCTCTTCGAGCGGCCCCTGCCTCTGCTCCCCGAGGCTGTCCGGACAAAGGGCGTCCGTCAGGTAGGGAGCTGAAAGCCCTAGGAAGGCCGTCTTCTCCTCTTTCTCCCTATTCCCCTTACTACTCACCCGGTAGGAGTCTGCAGGTCCGCCAACCACTTTCCTCTCTGCGGGAGTACCTGGAAACCTGGTCATAAATGGGGAGACTGAGGTCCAGAGACAAGGGTCATGTTCAAGAGGAAGAGGATGGCCAGGGCAGTGGGAAGCTTGGGGGGGTGGGGTGGAGATTGTAGAACTTTGCTGGGAACGGGGAAGGGGTGTAAAAGTTCGCCCTAGCAAGACCAGTTGCATTCTCGTAGCGCAGCTGCACCCAGGCTGCTCCCTGGTGTCACCTAGGCACCCTCGGCCTCCCCATGCTCACCCCACTCCCCAAGTAGCCTGGAGGAGATATGGTCTGGGTGTTATTCTCTGAGGTATAGAGAAAGAAGCCTTAGCTCTAGCTCTGACTTGCTGCTCTCAGGAAGTCCTTTTCCTCTGTGAGTCTCAATCTGTAAAATGAGACCGGATCCTATCGCTAGTGATCCCTCCTCCCCTCTGCCAGGGCCAGGTGCTGCTTGACAGAGACCCAGGCCCTGCCCGGCTGGCTAGGAGGCACTCAGAGAGGAGTATGGATGCTAGAATTCCTCAAGCACATATATTCTAACTCCAGGATTTAGAAGTCTCTCTAGGATCCTGTGCCATCCAGTCAGGCTTTACCAAAAGGAGTCGAAGAAGAGCACGTATACTCTATTCTGGTTGCTTTTAGATGGGGGTGCTTCAGAAAGGCAAGCTTCAACCTCTGGGATTGCTCCTGGCTTAGAAGGCAGGAGTCCTGTTCCTGTGTCTGGGGAAAGACCACATGGAGCTGTCTCCAACTGGGTAGGGGTCCTTGTTGACATTTCCTCTCTTGGTTTATAAATTAGGTGCTTTTTCAGCCATTCTGTTCTTTGCTCCTGCAACAACGCTGCAGCCAGCAATAGACCCATCTTGCAGGTAAGAGCCTGAGGCCCAGGAGAGAAGCACTCACTGAGAGTCTCTTTGACTCAAAGTCTGGGATCAAACTCAAACCCAGGCGCAGAAGCCAGAGTAGAGTACCACGGGCTACAGCACGATTTTCCTTCTTTTGGTGGGTGTGAACTCACCTTTCTGAGCTTCATTTGTAAAAGGGGCAACAATACCTATTCCCCGGGGCTGTCTGTAAGGACTAAATAACACGAGAACTCATCTATAAAGTTGCTTCTTCTAGCAAGCCTTCCCTGACGACCACCCGTTGGTTAGGCTTCTCCCCGTGGGACCCCACAGTGTAGCTGCTGTCTGTTTCTACTCTCCTCACCCTGACCAGACGTTGCGTCCTTCGATGGCAGTTAAGTTTTCCTGATTCCTTTCTGTATCCCGAATGCCTCGCCAGAGGTCCAGACGGAGCTGGAATAAAGTCAACGTTCCTCTCTTTTCTCCCTTCTTCCCACCCTTCCTCTCCCCAGCTTTCACCACACCAAGCTGTCTTCTCCCACAAAGGGCTGTGGAGATGGGTAGGTAGGTGCTCAGGGCTAAGCCCCCCTAGCTCTCCCACCCTGAGCCAGATGGGTCCCGGGGCAGTAGAAAGAACGCTCTGGAGCCTAGGGGAAAAGCAATCACCCAGGACTGGCTGTTGAAGTGCAGCCGGTGACATCCAGCTGGCAGGGGGCACCATATGGGCCCAGTAAAACAGGCAGGCCTGGGAACGCTGTGCCTGCAATGAAGGCTGTTTTCAGGGCCACCGCATCCTCCCGGAGGTGACTTGCTGTGAGCTGTCGGCCGTGCATCCCTGCAGCGGGGCAGCCTGCTAGTGCCCCTTCTGCCAGTCCCAGAAACAAGCAGAAACAGAAGGTCAGAGCTATGAGGGGCCTCCTCTGAGGTCATCATGTCTAAATTTTCATTCACAGGTGGGATGTGGCCCAGAGAAGGACAGGGACTTGCCCAAGGTCACACAGCAAGCCAGGACCAGACACCAGGTCTCCTGCCTCCCAGCTCAAACGCTTCTGAAAAATGGGAGAGGGAGCAAAGAAATCTTGAAAATATGCCAGTATTGTTAAAGGAGTTTTAAGAAGATTTTTCTTTTTCTTTCTTATCCGATCTTTGTAAAAATTTCTACAATAATCATCTATCCTTTATAATCAGAAAAAAATACTGAAAGGGGAGAAGAAGCTATGGAAAAAAGTTTAAGAAAATGGTGTCAAAATTGTAATCTTACTGTTTTCTACCCCCTGAGCCCTTAAGGGACCCCAGCGAGACGGTGGGTGCCAGGGGGCTAGAGACCGTCAGCTTCTCTGCAGCTGTCACTTGGACTTGCAGTGGAGACCGAGAAGGAGCCTAGGATCAGGACCCTGCTTTCCTCAAGTGATGTTTCCTCCCCACTGCCCTGTGAGCCAGCCAGTCCCTTCATCCGGCTAGGCCTCAGTTTTTCCATCTATAAGATGGGAGTTTCTATGGCGGAGTTACGTACTCTCACCCCCACTAGCAGAGCACAGTGGATAAATACATAGATACGGAAGCCTGGGATCCCATCTCCCTGCCCCCCCTTCTCTCTCTCTTTTTAGAATACTCACCTGATGATATGTTTTTATTGATTTTACAAAGAGAGGAAACGGGGAGAGAGATTGAAACATCAATGTGAGAGAGAAACTGATTGGTTGCCTCCCATATACGCTCCAACCAGGGATTGAACCCACAACGGAGGTGTGTGTTCTGACCAGGGATCAAACTTGCAACATTCTGGTGCATGGGACAGTGCTCCAACCAACTGAGCCACCCGTCCAGAGCTCCCCTGCTTCTTTATGGTCTTAGACAAGTTATTTAAATCTATAGGTCTCAGTTTCCTCACCTGTAAAATGGGGGTCATAATAAATAAATAAATAGGATTACACAAGACCTCATAGGTGGTTGTGAGGATTAAAAGAGTTAATGTTCAGTTCGTCTTTGGAATTATGCCTGGCGTATAATAAGTGCAATATATGTTGCACATTTTAATAAAACTCACATCACCTTCCTAACCAGAATAAACAGTGAAGATGGAGTGGTTGTTACACAGTTCCTGGTTGGCCCCCAGGGAAGGGAGTTTCCTTGGGGTTGGAATCAGCCTGGCCAGTCTGACCTGTAATCCAGTCTCTTTTTGACCCACCCCCACTCCCTACTGGTGGGGTAAGGCCACCCCTGCCCCTCTTGGGCCCAGGTCTTTGGTAGACTTCTCCCAAGGAAGCAGCAGTAGCCTGGGTTACTAGTAAGTCAGATGCCCAAGGGGTTTCATGCTTAGACTTGGCTCTGACCTTTCACCCAATCCCCAGGGCCTCTCCTGCCTGCTGCGTCCCATTAACCCAGCAGCCCCAGCCAGCTGCCTCTGAACCCTTCCCTCCTCAGACCCTTTCCATGCTGTTTGCTCTCCCAGAAACATCCAGGCAGATTGCCTTTTCAAGTCTCCCAGCCTCCCTGCGTTTGTCCAGGACATCTAGTTGGCCTCCTCCCCAGTACTCCCAGTCACAACTACCCACACATCTCACTTCCCACCTCGACACACACACACACACACATACACACTCCTAGGCAGTAACATTTTACCCTGGAGTTCTACGTGCCTCGGTTCTAGAATGAAATCCTCTGTCTATATGCAATATATATGCAACTTTAGCTAACCAGGCCTCAGTTTCCTTATTTGTACAATGGGAATAATACCTGCCTCAGAAGGCTTCAATAAGGCTTCTGTGGGACATATGGGAAATGCTTAGCCCAGTGCGTGGCATGTGGCAAGAGTTCAGCAAATGGTAACTCTGGTTCTCATTCTTTTTCAGTGCTTTTTGTTGAACCTATTTGCCTGCCCCAGCAGCTAAGCATGCCTGGAGACCACCGTTCACCCCAGTGTTCCGTGGGTCAGCTGACCAGTGCCTGGCACAGAGGAGGTAGGTGCCCAGTACACATTCAAGCATGTGACTTAAGTTCTGTCCTCTGGTTCTCCAAGTGTGCCCAGCAAGTGGACGACTCTCTGCGGGTGGGGAAGCAGCAGCACCTACAGGGCTGTGGGGGGCGCTCCTGCGGGGCCCCTGCCGGGCCAAACTGCCATCCGTGGTAGGACCAGCAGTCGTTTTCTCTTCAGCCTGGGCAGCCACGGGGAAGTCGCTGACTATGGAGCTGCTGAGCTAATTAAGAACGACAAAGCACCATGTAACTGCCAGCAATTGATGAGTCCCCTGCCTCTTCCTGCCTCTCTTTCCCTTGCCCTCCTTGGCACTGTCTATCTGGAAGGTTACCACACAGACACAGAGGCAGGCAGAGAGGCAAAACTGACCACAGACTGGCTTCGGGAGACCTGGAGGCCGGCTGTCTCTGTTACTCCTTGCAGTGGGACCCTGAGCAAGTAAGCTCCCTTCTTATATTGGCTCCATTTCCCTGTTTCAGGGCTCTTGACCTTGTATAAGAGGAGGGCAAGGCAAAGGGGCCTGGCCAAAGGGGCTCTGCCTAGGGACTGAGCTGCACCTGCCAGATGGATTGGGTGCAACAAGGCAGGCAGCCGCAGGTCTGAATTCCAGCGCTGCCACCACCAGCTGCGTCATCTTGGGCAGGCCACTTACCTTCTCTGAGCAACCGATCCTTCATTTCCAAGAAGAGATGTAGCTCTTACTAGAAGAGCCTGCATTGGTCCCAAATCTCTGGCTGTCACAAAGATCACTGGACAAGCCCATCTCTATCAAATCGAATACAGAAATTAAGGGTTGTGAGGTTATAGAGCAATTTGATAGAGTAAT